TTCCTTCCTTCCTTCCTTCCTTCCTTCCTTCCTTCCTTCCTTCCTTCTTTCGTCTCTCTCTCTCTCTCTCTCTTTCTCTCTCTCTCTCCCTTTCTCCCCGCACACCAGATTACTGTTACCAGACTCCTGAATGAATACTTTGTACACTTTGTATACCTACATTTTTAATAGTAGGTGTAGGTCCATAGATTGCCAAATGTAATGTGGAAGTAAAACAACATTTTAAAATTCTCTTGAAGAAAAAAAAATACAAAGACACCTATAAGTATACAAATATATGTATAACTTAAAAGGAAAGGAGGAAATGCAGTGCATACCAAACCACATCTCTAACTGTTGTTAGACAAGATATTATGTCCTGTACTGCCTTGTAACTTCCAGTCATGAAGAACGTCGTGTACATTATCACATTATTATAAACTGCTTTTCAGGTGATGAAGGTAAAGTATTTTAATTGCTAGATCTTCCTTAAGAAAGGTTTGAATTTCCTCAAAGAAGCATTTTATACAGATCAGTGGATTAAATTGCTCTCCTGGGTAATTAAAAGATAGTTGCATTGTACTTCTCATATGTAAGTACTATTAAAATCGTACATTCTGTCAGTTCACATAATACAGCTTTCAACTCTTGAATAGAAAACTAATCTAAAACTAAAATATATAGATTGCAAAGTCACAGTGACAAGTAGCCCATGAACTTCTTGAGCATCTCTGAATGTATCTAATATAGAAAAGCTCATCATCTTAAGTAATTGGCCCTCCTGTCAAATTCCTCTAATTATTCCTCAAATATCTTTAAGCAATTTTTATTGAATTCAGTTGAAATAACAGCCTTCTCTATCTTGAGGTCAAATGAGTGTAAAGAACTGGTGAGGTCCAGTTCTTGAAGGGTGTTTTCATATTACCTCAATCACCTCATCTAAGCTTATTTAAGGTCATAGAATTTACATTTTTCCGGCCTAAGAAAACTAATGATAGGACTGAATGCTGAAAAAACTTAAAGCAGTTTCTGGGAACGTAAATAATGAAATCAAAATGTCATAAAATGTAGGACACCAGAAAAGAGAAAGAGCAGAGCCTTATTAGCTTGAATCTGGCAAGTGCTTGTTAGATTGTGATTTATTCGCATAGTCAAATCACAAAGGTTCTAGAAGGATTAAGATGACGCATATACAAGCCAAACTGACAATCAAAATTGTAATGCATCTTAGTTGAATGTTCATTGAGAAGGTTGGCTTCTTAATAAGGCTTTGCAAAGCTTTTATTGAATCCCGCTTTAAACTGAAACTTCAAGACACTGAACAAGAATCTAAATCTACTCCCCAAATTTGCAGGGTAGTCATAGGATTTTCTAGATGCGCAGAATTCGAAACATTCAAGTGAACAAAGCAGAGGGGCTGATCAGCACTGAGAGATGCAGTGGGCTCTGAGATATTGGCCCAAACAGTGGCTCAAATAACTGGCTAATGACTTAATAACACCTGCAAATCCTCTTTGCCAGAACAATGAATGCTGCTCAACCTCACACTTTCACTAGAATGTTTTCATGCAGGTTTTCTGGGAAGGAAAGAAATATATTCAGATTTATTCTGCTATTTATATTTTATACCTGTTTGAGTTTTTAATTACTTCCCCAATCTATAATCCTTAAATCTCATATCTATTTGTCTGTCCTGTAATATAGCCCCTGTTATTCTCACTGTCCAGTTTGTCTACAATTCTTTATTTCCTCAGTTCCACTTTCATCCTTTTTCTTTTCTACCATTAACTAAAAAACAGCAAAATAATAATAATTCCCTTTTACCTTCAAAAACTGGACTTCTCTCTCTCTGTTTTGTCTTATGATCTAAAAGAAAGCTGTTTGCTATTTTGTCTTATCTAAAAGAAAGCTGCTTTGCTTTGCTTTGATTTATTTGATTTGTCAATCGCTTACAAGATAATAGGTATAAGTATAAACATAGTTATAAATACATGAAATGGATACATATAAGGAAATAAAAGAAACAATAGGACAGGGACAGTAGGCATGTTGGTGCGCGTATGCACGCCCCCTACAGACCTCTTAGGAAAGGGGTGAGGTCAATAGTAGGTTGGCTTTAATGGTGTCATTATTGCAGTCTTTACCATTAGGTCCTTTCAGGGGTGGGATGGACCGTGAGTCTTTTAGTTTGTTGTTTACAAAATTATTGAAAGCACAGATGGAATTTATGTGTAGAAGGTTTCCTCTTGTTTAATGTGATAATTGGTGCATTCATCTTTATCTGGTGGTATAAATTTTTGTATCGGCTTTTGAAGTTGGCAACGTGACCAGATTTGTTTTTCCACCTAAGTGATCTCTTTTTGGATTGAAGTTTCCTTATTGTTATGGGTAATCTGTTTTTTTCTGGTTTGGGGAGTTGTTCCTATGATGGTCAATGTTCTAACCAACCAATTGTTCAATCAACTGAAATCTAATTTTGTCTTCGAACCTCAAATCTGAATTAGAACATAGCTGACTCACACACCCCTAAGAAATTAAAAACCAGAGCAAACCTGGCATGAATTCTGTGATGTGGAAATGGATTGAACAGAAGTTGGAAAAAGCCCATTGTATAGCTACCTCCAATAATTCTCTAGGAGAGCAGCTTATTCTAGAAGTCCTGTTTTGCTCTGCTGGGTTATCATATTCCCACTAGTCTTCCCTTGGTCTATACATCAGGATTTTGTTCATTTAATACTGTATTAGGTATGTCCTTTATCTAAAAATCCATTGGTAGTCAATCCACCATAGGCAGCTTGTATTCATGGATGTTTCATACCACACAACTTTTGCAAGTTCCTTCATGAAAAAGATTAGTGGTGCAGTTCTTAAAATTAAATTCTGTGTTATATGGCCTAATCTAAATCTGAGCAGCTTTATTTATTCTTTTCCTACATTTAGGAATTATTGCAGGAGTGCCAAGTCTTGAGGATTCGTGACTCCACGCAAAGCTGGGTTCAGAGGTCACAGTCAAGACCATTAATAACAAGGTGCAAACGGCTGGTTTATATGTAATGTGAAGCTTTTTACTTATTTCATTTATGCACTTTGGGGGCTCTGTTTGCTTATGGAGCACTTGGTGTCTGGTACTTATTTAGGAGATTGGGTTCATACAGGCCTTTGAAGGAATGTAGCAAATTGTTCTCCAGTGCTGTAATTCTGTGGTGGTAGCCGAACTTATTTGTCTCTGCTTATTACATGGGTGCTTAGCTCAAAGGTTATTCTTCACTTAAGAAGCAATAGTTGAATTCCAAGCTCTGCAAACTCAGGGGGTGCTTTGTATCCTTCTTTCTCTCATAAAAAGGTGGCTGGCCTTTAATGATAGACATTTAAGAGCTCAAATTGATCTCAGTGATAAGAGACTAGGAGGACTTCACACAGGAGTAAAGGCATTTTCAGTGAGGGAAAAGAAGCAAGATAATTTATTCTGTGGTGGGTAGGTAAATGGTTTATTGTATAGTGACAGATGAATGGAATAAACTCTTTTTATGCATAGCTGGAGGGTTTGGTGAGTGCATTGTAGTGAGTTTCAGATTTCCTGTCTCTTTGTGCTACTGATAGAACAATTTAAGTAATCAATTACGAGGCAGAATTTTGCAGTATACATATTCAACACTACTGTTGGTAGGACAAGTGGGGAGAATAGCAAAGTGACCTCTCCTCAGATTCACAAGACTTTTTGAAATCATTCTGTATTCTCAATTTTTACTGCAGTTGCACACTATGTTAATATTCACACTGAGCAACCTACCGGAGCCCTAATATCCCTTCCTTTTCAACTAAAACTAATGGCTGACCATTGATGTGTGTGCGTGCAGGAGGAGCTGGAAATATTTGGGGAGGAGGATCACTGAATATACTACTCTACAGGGATTATACTAAGTTGTCTTTGCTGTTTTAAAATCCCCAATTTCAAAAGCTTGAAATGATTTTCTGTTGTTGTTTTTTGCTGTCTTATAAAACCTTTAATATTTTCCATTGCACTTCCCAAACCTCCTTTCCCCTAAATTCTAATATGAAGATTGCCACTTCTCAGGGCAGAGAGGGAAGGAGAGGAATGGCACCTTTCCTCACTTAGAAATGTTGTTCTAATAAAAATGAAAACCTACCCTATTGCAGCCATCTTTTATTTTCCTCTTTCTTATCCTTTTGCTCAAGACTTGCCAAGCAAATTGCGAATTGCTACTATGTTGCCCCTCAAAACCAGCTGGTCCAAACCAGTATAAGTCTGAATTTTATTTATCTGTAGAGATGCAGAAAGTTATATTCACATAGTTTCTTTTATATGAAAAAGAATTGTATTGCATTTGCTTGCAATAATGTGTATAAATTCTGAAACCATAGGTCATGTTTATACATTTGATCTTTGCTATAAAGCAGAACTAGGACACAGCGGCTCAGCAGTTAAAGATGCTGAGCTTGTCAGCTTGGGTTCAACAAGACTTAAGCACTGTGCAATGGTCATAT